CTCGAACTCCCGGACCGCGAGATCGTGACCTGGCTGAAGTCGGACACTTAACCGACTGCGCCACCCAGGCGCCCCGCCCCCCTATTTTTTTAATAGACTTAATATTTTAGAGCACTTTCAGGTTCACAGAAAAACTGAACAAAAGGGGGTTAAATGTCTAACTTCGGCTCAGGTCCTGATCTCACGGTTCGTGAGTTCGAGCCCCGTGTTGGGCTCTGTGCTGACAGCTCAGAGCCTGGAGTCTGCTTCAGATTCTGTGTCTCCCTTTCTGCCTCTCCCCTGCTCATTCTCTGTCTCTCTCTCAAAATAAATAAACATTGAAAAAAAATTTTAAAAAAACTGAACAAAAGAGTTCTCATATTGAACAGGCAGTTCCCATATATCCCCTGCCCTCACACGTGCATAGCCTCCCCCATTATTAACATCCCCCACCAGAGTGGTGCATTTGTTACAATCAGTGTCCATGTAGGACACATCGTAAACACCCAAAGTCCACAGTTTACATTAGGTTTCACCCTTGGTGTACATTCTATGGATTTGGACAAATGAATAATGATACATAACCACTTTTTTTTAAGTTATATTTTATTTGAGAGGGAGAGAAAGCATGAGCCAGGGAGGGGCAGAGAGAGAGGGAGAGAGAAATAATCCCAAGCAGGCTCCACACTGTTGGCATGGAGCCTGTTGCAGGCCTTGAACTCACGAACCATGAGATTATGACCTGGGCCAAAGTCAGATGCTTAACCGACTGAGCCACCCAGGTGCCCTGACACATACCCACTTATAAAGTACCATACAGAGTAGTTTCACTGCCCTAAATACCCTCTTTTCTGCCTATTCATCTCCTTTTTTTTTTTTAGAGAGGGTGTGCTTAGGTGAGCAAGGGAGAGGGGCAGAAGGAGAGAGAGATTTGTTTTTTAAGTTTATTTTTTTTTAATTTTTATTTAATTTATTTTTTAAATTTACATCTAAGTTAGTTAGCATATAGTGCAACAACGATTTCAGGAGTAGATTCCTTAATGCCCCTTACCCATATGAGGACTTTAAGATGCGAAATAGATGAATATAAGGGAAGGGAAGCAAAAATAATATAAAAACAGGGAGAGGGACAAACAGAGGGTTAAGTTTATTTATTTGAGACACAGAGAGTGAACAGGGGAGGGGCAGAGAGAGAGGGAGATAGAATCCCAAGCAGGCTCCATGCTGTAAGCACAGGGCTCGATTCCACAAACTGAGATCATGACCTGAGCCAAAACCAAGAGTCAGATGTTTAACCAACTGAGCCACCCAGGTGCTCATCCATTATTATTTTTTAAGTCTGAAAATACACATTTGTCTAGGCACACTAAGCCTGAACCTTTGGGGTCAGATGTGCTTTGGAATTTAGAGAAATTTCAGAATTTAGAAAAATCACCTGATGTATATACTGTGTGGTAACACCTCTGGTGGAGTCTGTGGCAGTACCTCATGAACACCTGAATGTTTCTGCATGGCAATGTTTGAATATTTACCTCCAAGTGGGGGATAAATACATTCTCGCCAGCTCAGGTCAGGTTATGATGGCAGATGAATTAGAGGAAGACTTCTGGTTTTCAAAGCTTTTTGAGTTTTGGAATTTTGGACAAGGGATTGCATACTTTTCTTGAAGACAGTCAAAATCACCTGTAATGCCAACTTTTAGGGGTATTTTGTTGGATGGTCTTCCCAACTTTTACATGTTTGTATACTTATATGTATAGTCACATGTATGTATGTTAAACTTGTTCAATTGTAAGTGAAATCATACCTTGCATGTATTTTGCCTTATACGAAGGCAAAATGGGATCTAGGCTCTTGCCATTTACTCCCTCCTCCATATCATCCCTACCCTAAGTGACTAGAGGATCCCCAGGTGAAACTCCTTGAGGTAAAGCCAGGTTCTCTGCTGCCCCCTACCTCCAGGTACTTGCTGGGTCAGGGCCTCCGGCTGCCTATGGGAAGGCCAAGCATTGGATTCCCAGCATGGTCAGCAGGGGTCCGTCAGAAAGCAGATGAGGCCCTTCTGGGAGCAAGTCTTCTGCTTACACAATGACCAGTTCCCTAAAAGAAAGGGTCTCCTCTTCCTTTGCATGCATAGAGTGTCAAACAGGGCTGGGAGTTTGACCCTGCCATTTAGCTAGGCCCTTCGGGAATTGGAGGGCAGGGCCATGGGGAGGGGGTACAGGTCTTTCCTGTTGCTGACCCCCACCTCTTCCCTCCAGCAGGAGCACTGGTTTGAAAAGGCCCTGAGGGACAAGAAGGGCTTCATCATCAAGCAGATGAAGGAGGACGGCGCCTGTCTCTTCCGGGCTGTAGGTGAGTCTCTGCCTCAGCCTTCAAGGGCCTAGAAATGCCCCTGAGCTACTTCTAATTTTTAGGAGTAATCCCTAAGATAGGGTTGAGGGTAGAGTTTACTGGTCTTTTCAGGACTCCAGGCCCCAGCTTCAAATTAGTATCTGGCCTCTAGCCTTTGGTCATGAGGCAGTGTGGTGGCACGGAAGTAATAACAACAGTAATAGTGATAAAGAAAATAACAATACTTGGTGACAGATTGCACTGTCAGCCACTAAAAGAAACCCTTTTTAATTCTCCCCCAGGCTAGGTAAGTGTAGGGACTGTCGTGGTTTCCATTTGTCAGATGAGAAAAGCAGCTTAGAGGGCGCCTGGGTGGCGCAGTTGGTTAAGCGTCCGACTTCAGCCAGGTCACGATCTCGCGGTCCGTGAGTTCGAGCCCCGCGTCGGGCTCTGGGCTGATGGCTCAGAGCCTGGAGCCTGTTTCCGATTCTGTGTCTCCCTCTCTCTCTGCCCCTCCCCCGTTCATGCTCTGTCTCTCTCTGTCCCAAAAATAAATAAACGTTGAAAAAAAAAAAAAGAAAAGAAAAGCAGCTTAGAGCAGGGGAGTGACCTGCCCAGGATCAGGTAGTACATAGTAGAGTGAGGGGTCTCTGGGTCAGGTTAGTCTGAGGCCCATGCTCTTAACCACAGCACACTGCTGTCACCCTGGGACCATGGAATTTTTTTAAACTTACACAGAAGTAGAATAGTGAATTCTCATGTACCCATCATTCATCTTCAAAATAGTCATCAACACATGGCCAGCCTTGTTTTATCACTATCTTGCCCACTTTTTTTTCACTATCCTGAAGCAAGAGTATTTTTAAATCAAAACCCCAACATTGGATCATTTCATATGTTAAATACTTAAGTATGTTTCTCTGGCAGATAAGGGTTCTTTCTTTCTGTTTTTTCCTAACATAACCAAAGTGTTATTATCCTACCTAACAACATTCATAATTCCTTAATGCCATCAATTGTCCAGTCTGAGCAGTATCTTTGAGCTCCCTCTGGCTCTGAACCTGTGACTCAATAGGCAGTTGTAAGGCCCTGTGCTAGTGTCTGGAGAAATTGGGGAATGTGATCTGACCCTTCCATTGGGGCTCTGATAATCTACCAGGAAGAAGGGCTCTCTGATAGCAGCTTTCAGCTAGAAGTCAGAAGCTCTATCTTCTAGTTCTGGCCCTGATTCAAAAACTTATATTTCCCCATCTGTTAAATGGTACTGATTCTGAAGGACTCCTTGAATCCCTACAAGGTCTGCTATCCTCTCTCTGGCTAGCCCCCATGAGTACTGGTGGGCTGGACTGACTCAGGCTCCACTTTTGGCTGTGCCACTGATTCTTGGTGTGAACTTGGGCAACCAGTTCTTTTTGCTTGAGCCTACTTCCAAGGCTGTAACAGGAGGCTGAGAGACCCAGTGTTACAACGGATAAACGAGATTACTTCAGTAAATCCCTTTAGTGCCTGACAGTAGGCCCTCGGAACAGTAGCATTGGTAAAGCCTGAATGCTGTTTTTGGTGGTGTCTCAGAGCCACAAATGTTTGTTGAATGGGTGGAAGAAGTTTACATGGGGTGAGTGCTTGCCTGCCAGTTCTACCAAGGGGAAGAGGTCCAGGCAGTGGTGTGTGCTGGCCTGGGAAAATCCCAGTCCTCCTCCCCCTGTGGCTCAAGTCTGTGTTCTCCTGGAATGTTTCCTAGAGAAAGTGCTGGGTTTGGGGGCATCTTGGACCAAGGAAGGCAAAGAAAGAATAGGTGGGGGCCTTTTAGGTGCTAGGCCCTGTGCTGAAACCTCAGGTGAGATGTGGGATAAACAGGGCTACTAGTGGAGTGAATGTAAGAGAATGTAGCCGGGTATACTTGGTCTCGGGCAGTCTTTGAGGCAGATCTTGGGGCTAGTAACGACCTGGTTTATGTAGTAACCCATATCAACAGCAACATTTTCACGTATGTCCATCTAGCTGACCTCCCCAAACACCCTCTGACACCACACCACACTCCCCCTGCCCCCACCCCAGGCCTTCCAGTAAAGGGCCTGAGCTTATAGGAAGAGCTGACCGTGGCAGGTTGAAGGCCTTTCCCTATCAGCACTATGGCTACCCATTTCCCCCAACTGAGCTGCCCTTGGCTTTTCTCTGTAAAACCTCAGAAGCCCCATGGCCTCTTCTCTAGAAGTACATGGCCCCTGGGTCTCCAGGCCTCATCTGGAAGTTTCCCTGCAGCAGAGTGCACAGGACATGTGCCCGAGAAAGGGACTTTGTCCTCCAGCTTTCTGCTGCCCCTCTGCTTCCAGCCTGGCTTGTACAGGGACAGGTGGTAGTTGCCCTGAGCTCTGGTGAGAAGGCCTATAGCTTCTGACTTCCTGCTATGCATTGAACAGTGGAAGGAGCACATCACTGAAGGTTGGAGTTGGAGGGGGATTGCACACACAGAGACCACTCTGTTGTTTGTTGACCCTGACTGTTTTGTTCGCTGGCACTCAGCTTGGTGCTTCAGATTCACCTGCAAAATTGGGATCATTATCACATGAGACAGGTGAGAAGGTTGAGGCTCAGGAAAGGGTCATTAGTGGTAGAGCTGGCATGGGGACCCAGAGGTATCCCAAGGACACATTCTTTCTATGACCCTGGGAAAGCCCTGCCTTCTCAGCTTTGCTTCTCTACCCTCTGTTTTACCTCTGCAGTCCAGGTGTCCGTACTGTAAACCAGTATTCACTGCTCTCTCCCACTACCCCCTGTTGGGGACTTGTGAGCATCAGTGAAGGCTTGGGTGGAGTAGAAGTACAAGTCTGAGTTCCTGAGGTGTCTGGTGGCCCACCCTGCCCCTGCTATGTTCAGATAACCTCCTCCTGGAAACATGAGTCTGCCTCTCTCCTTCTTCCCTCTCCCCACATGGCTTTGACTCAGCAAAAACCTCTGGCCCTGGCCTCTGTGGGCAAAGTGGAGGCCACACGTACATCTGTCTGCATGGGCCATGAGGAAACAGCTAGAGTTGTACATGTTGCAATGGTGGGGCCCAGAAACATTAGCCTGGACCATCAGCATTGGAGGGATGTATCTTTGATTAATTTTGACTGTTTTGTTAATGGGAAAACTGAGGCCTTATGAGAAAGCCAGGACGTTATTATCTAGGTCACATAGCCAGTGTCAGAACATGGTGTTTGAGGTTGAACTAGGCCAGAGGAGAAAATTCCCATGGGCCACCATGATACCAGTTTCCACTGGGCTCTTTCTGCCCTGCCTCCTTCAGTTTTCCCATCTTTGCCATGGGAATCCTTAAGTAGAGGAGCAGGCATCTCAGAGACAGGCTGTTAAGAGGACTTTTGTCTCCCCCTAATTGAGGATGTCTCCCTCACTGAGGGTGTGCCATTTGGGGCCATGGGCCAGGTGCACACAACAGCTGCTTGATAGGCAGGTGAGGCCTTTTTTTCTGGCTCATCTTCTTGGTGGGGCTGGCATTCACAGTGGGCCAGGAGGCAAGTGGGGAACAGATCAGGTTCCTGTCTCCCCCTGCTGCTGTGTGTACACACATTTGTGTGGTTGGTTTTTAGATTCCCTGCAGACACCAAGCTTCCTTTTCTGTCCTCAGCAGAACTTGCTGTGGCTCTTCTAGCAGGCAGGCAGGCAGGCAGCAGCCTGGTGGGGAGGCAGGTCCCAGGTGCCTCTAAAACAAATGGTAGAGCCCTGTACTTTATTAAACTCCTTTAGATTATCCAGGCTCTCCTGTCTTGCTTCTGCACATAACTCTTTGGCAAATAGTGACTTTATGTTAGGGAGACTAAGGAGGAAGGATTACAGAGGTTTGGGGGACCTTCCCTCAGGCAATAGGGGAAGGAGGTTGAGGCAAGTCTGTTAGAGCTATTGGCTATTCCTCCCTCCCATTAAACCCCTGGCAAAGGGTAGGAAGGAGGTGGGGGTCCTCAGTTTGTACAGCCTTGCCTCATGTGCAACCTTTAGTCTTTCTTGGTTAGCAGCAAGGGCAACTACTTGTGGAATACAATAGGTCTCTGTAGTTGTCAGGGTGGTATGGGTATTTGGCCTCAGGGAATGTCTTTGGCAGGATCTGCTGGCTGTGTGTGTGTGTGTGCACATGCATTTTTGTGCTGGTGTCTCAGCATGCTCAGAGAAAGGACCGGTGTGGGATACTGACCTCTCTGTAATCTCTGCTCACTCCCAGGCCTTTCCTGGGTTCCAGCTGATGCCTGTTTGTGCTGGTGGAGAAACTGAGGCAGACAGAATCAGGCCTTGCCTAGGCAGTCAGGTGGCTAAGATGATAGGTGGATTGGGAGTGGTGGTAACATCACCTGGAGCATGAGTGTTTGAAGTCACTGGTTATTTCTTGAGAGCTTGGCCTCACCTTCACCCTCCCAGATGTGTGGCCTTGGGCCAGCTGTGCTGTATTTTTGTACCTCAGTATCCCTCCTGTGTGAAGTAGGGCTTTTTTGGGGTGAAGATGGAAGAAGTTGGAATGTGAAAAGACCTTAGTGGAACCAATTGTAGTACTGTCCTGAGGATTTCTGAGCGTTCTTTGGGTTGGGGACAGAGGTGAGGTAGTGGGGACCCCCTTCAGCTGGACTCTGGGAAGGGAGAGCAGGTGCACGTTGCCCACAAGTGCAGCGTCAGCAAGAAGAGGAGTTTCAGTTTCTATCAAAACAAGTTCTCTGAATTCCCCTACCTCTGCAGGTCCATTGGCCCTTTCCCCCACCTTGGCCCCCACAGGGAAATCCAGCCCAGCCTAGCCCCTGGTCCCATATGGCTACCCTCTCGGAGGAGGAGGGCTTTCTGGAGGACAGAGGTGGAGCTAGCAAAGTCAGGCAAGCACCGCCTCAGTGAGGGCTGCCTGTGTTTCTGCCCTGCCCTGGATGCTTTTCCCTGCCTTAGATCACTGTAAAGACCCTTCTCCTCTCCCTCTTTGGGGAGGTATTATTGTTCCGTTTTGCTGGTTCAGATAACATATTTTCTTCCATGTGTATGATTCCCCAAACTGGGGTATATCTTATAATCAGGTAGGTGGGTCGTGCCGTGCCACTACCACCCCTAACAAAAGCTGCGATTTAAACGCATGTGTGGTACCACCTACCAGTGCATCTTAGAATTGAAGAGAGATGGGGATATTTTACAGGGAGGTAGGTAGGAAGGTAAAGTTATACCTTGCCCACACTTAAGGGCCCTGGTTTGTGAAGCTTGTATTATTGATTTGATGTTAATTTGGTTGCTAAAGATTTGAACTATGGATACAGAAGGTAGACCTGTGGACCTTTGAATTCAGTAAAGGTTGAGACCCAGTCCTGCCTGTGTGAGGAGGGACAGCCTAGACTCCTAAGTTTGGGGCATTCCTCTGGCTGAGGAAGTGACAGAAATGAGGAAGGGCTTAAATAAGTGGTTCCAGTGACATTCTGACTGACTTGTGAGTGGTTGGCCATCTGAAAGAGTCAGCGTCTACTCGTAATAAATGGAACCCCATTTCTTGAACACCTAGTACACCTTAGGTGTTCAGCAAACCCTACCCCTAGTCTTGACAGCTCCCTGTGAAAGGAAGAGGAGTTACTCTCCCCACTTCGGAAGAAGACATTGTGGCCCAGAGAGCTTGATGGTCTTGTCCAGTGCCACACAGCTAGGAGGCAGCAGAGCCTTTCTGCTAAGGCAAAGGAGACAGTGGCAGGGGAATGGAGCAGGGGGACCTTCATGAGGTTCCCTCAGTTCCCTTCCCTGTCCCAGTCTCCCCTTTCCTCCATTTTCTTGCATCTGGCATCTAGCTCAGGTAGATCCATCTCCCAGGCCTGCAAATGCCTGTTGATCCTTCCCTAGGAACATCTCAGCCACCTCCTTGAGCTTCGCAGCCCGGCCCCTATTTAACCCCTTTGCCGCCATCTCAGTTCCTGTTTACTGCAGCTGCTGGCAGCACTGCCTCCTCAGCACCCCAAGCTCATTCTACATAAATAGCTCTCGGCAGCCACAGAGGGCTCTGTGGTCCTGGCTTCTAAGAAAGGCGGCAGCAGGGGGCCCCCAGCCTGTGCGCAGGGCACGTGACTTGCTGGAAGTGCTGCTGGGGGGTGGGGAAGAGTGTGGCCGCAGAACCCACATCCTTGTTTACATCGGTGAAGGGGCTACCCCTTCCCGCCTTCACAGCTCCCCTCCCCCTCAGTCCTCTGCACCTCCGAAGAGGACATGAGACAGGCATTGGCCCCGTTTTCTATCTCAGAAGTAGCATTTTTCTCCTTATCTCACAGAATCCTCCAGGGAGGGAAGGGGGAGGGCGGCAAAGGCGTTCTTCCGGTGATTCTTCCAAGGCAGACTGGCTCTCATGGAAGAACTCTGTGGTGTCCCCTGAGGGACTTGACCCTGCCCCAGTGCCCCGGGTGATCCCATCAGAGCAGTGGTCCTGGTCCTTTGGGGAGACAAAGGGAAATTCCCTCTTTGTCTTAGCCAGTGGACACCAGGTGGGCCTCGTCTTCAAGCCCACTTTAATTTCCCAGGGACAAGACTCCCGGCCTCCCCCCACCCCAGCCTATCCATCCAGTCAGCAAGCTCTTCCCGATTTCCTGTACTGTATTGGCCTCTGAGCTGGGGTGGACTTGGATGTGAACTGCTCTCAGCCCTCAGTGGAAGTCAGAGTGCTCAGGCAGAGGAAGTCTGCATACATCTTTGATAAATCTGGTGATAGAAGTGCTTTGGAGGGTGGGAGAGATGGGGAACTGTATAAAGAACACATGGGTATTTGACAGGTAGGCAGCTGAGGAGAATGGAAAGAATGCCCTGAAAAGAGGAAATGGCATGTGTGAAGATCCTCAGAGTGAGGCAGGAGGAGCCTGGTTCTTATTTTGACCAAAACCCCATGATGCCTAGACCATTTGGGCCATAGGCTGCCTTTCCTGAATTAAGTTTAAGTTATGTTCATATGTGTCTTATTTCTCTTGCTTAGATTACGTGCTTCTTGCAGGCAGGGGCAGGATTTTACTCACCTCTCTCACCTTCACAGTATCCCACATTCAGGCCCCACTATGAGTAGGGAACTCTTGATTTGCTGAGTGGCTGGTCTGTCCCAAGCCCAGTGCTAGTCACCTTATACCCTTTATCTCATTGATCCCACAAGAGGCCTGCTAGGGAATCATCCTACTTGTTCCTGTTTTGTGTGTGAGGCACATGAGGCTCGGAACACTCGGGTTGCTTTCTTCTAGTCGCTTAGCTCACTAGGACCTGGCAGAACTAGGCTTGGAGCCCAGTTGTTTTTCTTGTCTCTTCTTTTTTCATTTTTTTAACCTACAGAGGCCATGCTGGCTCCCAGGAGTCAGGAAAACTGGATTCTAGAGTTGAATCCGTCAGACTCACTTGCTGTGTGACCTTGATGAAGCCACAAACTCTCCCTGAACCTTGGCTTCCTCGTGTGAAGAGTGAAGGGGGAGTGTGGAATTGCTGGTGCTCAAGACCACTTAGGGGACTTAAAATGTTTATTGACTTGTCTGAGTGGCTTGGCAAGCCCTGGACAAATTCATCTGCCTGAGAGGACTGTGGTTGTGTTCCTCTCGCCTATACTCTTGTTCCTAAAGACTGTCCCTGCCTGCCTCTTTTTCCATGACCCCATTCCAGCCCACAAAGCCTAGCACTCTCCAGGCCTTTAGTGTAGGAAAAGGAGTTTTTCTGGCCCCCAGCCCTCCACCACCAAGGATGTTCCATGACTCCAAACTCTTCTGGTGGCAGCTCTTAACCCCAGCCTCTCCTTTCTTCTCTCCCCACAGCTGACCAGGTATATGGAGACCAGGACATGCATGAGGTTGTACGAAAGCATTGCATGGACTACCTGGTGAGACCCTGTGGAGGCCTTGGGGTGGGGGCAGTATGGGTGCATCTCCTCCCCCCGCAGACCTTGACTCTCCAATCTGTTCTGCAGATGAAGAATGCGGACTACTTCTCCAACTATGTCACAGAGGACTTCACCACCTACATCAACAGGAAGCGGAAAAACAACTGCCATGGCAACCACATTGAGATGCAGGCCATGGCAGAGATGTACAACCGGCCCGTGGAGGTGTACCAGTACAGCACAGGTACTTCTGTGGTGGGTAGGTGAGCGACCGACTGCACCTGGTCCAAGCCTGCCCTGCCTGGCCCATTGTGGATGCTCCTTCCTTCTCTTTCTCTGCAGAACCCATCAACACCTTCCATGGGATCCATCAAAATGAGGATGAACCCATCCGCGTCAGCTACCATCGGAATATCCACTACAATTCAGTGGTGAATCCCAACAAGGCCACCATTGGTGTGGGGCTAGGCCTGCCGTCATTCAAACCGGGGGTAAGTGGGTCCCCCTGCTCAGGATGACTGCTAGATACAGAGGCCAAAAACCTCTGTTGGGGTCTCAGTTATGCCCTAGTCCACAAAAATGTCCTGTCCCCTCTGAGTTGCCCCTGCGGTCTCACCTTTATAAAAATAGGGAGTTAACTCGAGGGGATCTCAGGGCTCAGTCTGTGGTCTCCATTTGCCTGTCCCAGCTGGCTTACCCATCTTTCATGCCTGTTGATGGTTGACATTTTGTGATATGGAGGCACATCTGAGAACTGTGAACCAAGGCTTGGTATGGGTATCTTGGCACCCACATAGATCCTCTTCTGAAACTCAGCAGTTATAGACAGCTGTGTTCAGAGACTTAAAGTGCGGGCCTGGCTGTACTACTTACTGGCTGTGGGACCTAGGGTAGATTACCCAAGCAATCTGGGCTGGTAGCTCAGCCTATACAGTAAGTGCCTAACACTGAGCCTGGTGCCTAGTAGGTGCTCAGAAGGTGGCAGTATGTTTTCCAGCACACGCTGACATTCTCATTCTCTCTCATAAACAGTCATCTTCTGGGGATTTTGCTATCTTCTATTCAGGTTTCACTTCCTATAAGCAGAAAGTGCCCCTGCCTCATTTTAGGAAATGCACACCCTAACACCAACACACCCTCCAATGGAGGGTTTTTTTGTTTTGTTTTTTTAAGTAAACTTTTAATTTTAGAATAGTTTTAGATTGGCAGAATTACTGAAATTAGAGAATTTCCATGTTCCCCACTCTGATTAGCATGTCAGCATAGAACATTTGTCACAGTCAAAAGGCAATATTGATAATTAACTAAAGACTGTACTTTATTTAAATGACCTCAGTCTTTCCCTTATGATCTTATCTGGTCCAGGACACCATACTACATTTAGTTGTCTTGGCTCCTCTTGGCTCTGACAGTTTCTCTGAGTTTCCTTGTTTTTGTCTTTGATCTGTTTACAGATCTAGTTTTGCCTTTTCTAGAATGTCATGGAATTGGAATCCTACAGTATTTCAGAGTGGCTTCTCACACATAACACTACGTATTTAAATTTAAGATTCATCCGTGACTTTCTGTGGTCTGATCACTCATTTTTCTTTTTCCTTATTTATTATTTTTAAAAAATTACATAAAAATTGTTTTTTAATGTTTATTTACCTTTGAGGGAGAGAGGCAGAGAAAGGGAGACACAGAATCTGAAGCAGGCTCCAGGCCGTCAGCACAGAGCCCGACATGGGGCTTGAACTCACAAACTGTGAGATGATGACCTGAGCCGAAATTGGATGCTTAACTGACTGAGCTACCCAGGTGCCCCTTAAAAATTATTTTTTTAATGTTTATTTATGTTTTGAAAGAGAGAGCACGAGCATGGGAGGGGCAGAGAGAGAGGGAGACACAGAATTCGAAGCATCCTCCAGTCTCTGAGCTGTGAGCACAGAGCCCAACGTGGGGCTCGAATTCATGAACCTTGAGATCATGACCTGAGCTGCAGACACTCAACTGGGGAGCCACCCAGGCACCCCTCTTTTTCCTTTTTTTAAAAAAATGTGAATGCCTTAAGTTTTTTTTATTTGTAGGCTTGGGTTTTTTTTTTTTTAATGTTTATTTACTTATTTAGAGAGAGAGCACATATGCATGCATGCCAGAAGGGGAGGGGGCAGTGGGAGGGAGAGAATCCCAAGCAGGCTCTGCACAGAGCCCAAAGCTGGGCTCGATCCCACGAACCAGGAGATCATGACCTGAGCCAAAATCAAGAGTCAGACGCCCAACCAACTGAGGCACCCAGGTGCACCTAGACTTAATGGTTTAGAAGTTTTAGATCTACCAAAAAATTAAGAAGATAGTATAGAGTTCCCATGTATTCTTCTCTCCGCTTCTCCCGCCCAAGCCCAATAGTTTCGCTATCATTAACATTAGATGACTATGATGCATTTGTTATAATATTTGAAGCAGTATTGGTACATTATTATTAACTGAAATCATGATGTCCTTTTAGGTTCCCTTATTTGTGACAATTTCTCACATTTTCATGTTTTTGATGACCTTGACAGCTTTGAGGAGTACAGGTCACTTATTGTAGGATGTTTCTCTTTTGGAATTGACATTTGTTATAATATTTGTACTAATACTGATACATTGTTATTAACTAAAATCATGATGTCTCTTTAGGTTCCCTTATTTGTGACAGTTTCTCACGTTCTCATGTTTTTGATGACCTTCACAGTTATGAAGAGTACTGGTCATGTATATCGTAGGATGTTTCTCTTTTGGAATTGGTCTAATGTTTTTCTCATGATTAGACTGGCGCTATGGGTTTTAGGGAGAAAGATCACAGTGGTAAAAGTGCCATTTTCATCACATTATGTCAGTAGTATGTACTGTGAACATGATTTATGACTGTTGATGTTGACCTTGATTGATAGTGGAAGTAGTGTTTGTCAGATTTTCTCCACTGTAAAATTACTCTCTTTCCCCATTACCTTTTTCATACTGTCCTGTTTGGAAGGAAACCATTATGTACAGCCCACACTTGAGAAGTGGAGGTTATGCTCTATCTTCTTGAGGGCGTAGTATCTATATAAACTGTAGAATTCTGCAAGGGAGATTGGTCTCTTGTCCTCCATTTATTTATATCACTGTGGACTCAAGGGTATTTCTTTTATACTGGATTGTAACCCAGTACTATTTTTATTGATTTTGATGCTCACATTGTTCCAGTTTTGGCTATTAAGAGCTCTTTTAGTTGGTTCCTACATCTCGTTGACATCCCCCTGTCATTGTGGTGGTGGGCTGTTTTAAATTTTGGGTTTTGTTTGTTTATTTTGTTTCATTTTGTAGCACTTTCGTAGCTTCTGGCACTCTGAGGTGCTCCAGGTTCATCTTGTGTATTTCTTGCCCCAATTCTAGAACCAGCCATTTCTCCAAAGATCCCTGGTTCCCTTTATTGGAGTGTGTTATTAGAAACCAAGATCTGCAGGTGCCTGGGTAGCTCAGTCGGTTAAGCATCCAACTTCAGCTCAGGTCATGATCTTGTGGTTCATGAGTTCGAGCCCCACGACAGGCTCTGTGCTAACAGTTCAGAGCCTGGAGCCTGCTTCAGATTGTGTGACTCCCTCCCTCTCCCCCTCCCCCTTCCCCCTCCCTCTTCCCCCTCCCTCCCCCCTCCCCTGCTTGCTCACTCTCTCAAAAATAAACATTAAAAAATTTTTAAAAAAGAAAAATCAAAATCTGGATGCTGAGTATGCTCCTTGTTACTGGGGTGTCCTTGCTTCTAGGCTCCTTCAGCTGACAGAGCAAGGAAATATATCTGTGTATACTAACCCATATGTATACACTTACCTAGAAATATTTCTATGTATACTCTTATCTAGAAATATTTTTTTATGTAACCATCTGTATCTATATGAAGCTGCAGTTCTTACTGATACCTCCAACAGATAAGGTACCTCATTGTTTTAATTTGCAATTCCCTGATGACAAATGGTGTTGAGCATCTTTTCATGTGCTTATTTGCCATCTGTATATCTTCTTTGAGGAGGTTGTGTATTTAGACTTTTTTTGCCCACTTTTTAATTGACTTGTTCTAACAATTTTACATACTTTTTGGACTATTACACATGGGTAAAAAACTACGCTTTACATCATAACTTAGTGCACACACACATTGGTGTGTAGTGTGTATATCTGCATTAAAATAATGTTAGAATTTTGTTGAGCAATAATTACACTTAATGCCTGGAATATGCTCTGATATTTTTCTCATTATTTCATATCTCATAGCCTGACGAAAAGCACTTTCCTACGGTGTCCCACAACTCATAATACCCTATACCATGACAGTACTGTCCTCTTGTCCCCTTAAATGTCCAAATACTCCCTTCGCCCTGTGTACACACAGCTAACTTTTCAGGTCAGGTGATCTTTTCTCCTTGTCCCATGTGGGCATAGGTGAGGAAGGCCTCAGCATTATGAAACTGAGTCATCTCTGGGTAAGGCGTCTTTAAATTCCAGTACCTGGCTGCCCCAGACATAGTACTTCAGTCAAAGTGTCTTGGGGTTGGGAGCAGGGCTTCTGAGTGTAGGAGTTTGGAGTGACAAATCCCACTACCCCAGCCTGCCTTCCCCCGATACCTGATGAATAGACAGCCTGCTCAGGGGGGTGCTTAGTAGGAGTACCTGCCTTCCTATCCCCTGTCTTCTGAGCCTACAGACTCATAATCCTGAGCCAGTTCTGTCTCTTGGCTGGAGTTCAGAGTGTCACCCTACATCCCTGTCCTCCGTGCCTTGCAGTTTGCAGAGCAGTCCCTGATGAAGAATGCCATAAAAACATCAGAGGAGTCATGGATTGAACAGCAGATGCTGGAAGACAAGAAGCGGGCCACAGACTGGGAGGCCACAAACGAGGCCATTGAGGAGCAGGTGGCTCGGGAATCCTACCTGCAGTGGCTACGGGATCAAGAGAAACAGGCCCGCCAGGTCCGCGGCCCCAGCCAGGTGTGTCCTGGGCTCTGTCACTGGCCTGGCCAAGAACCCCTTACTTCCCATGCTCTGCCCCCATACTGGCAGAAAAAAATTAAGCAGTTTTGACATCTGGGAGAAAAGGAAGCTCCCAGCCCATTCTGTACCTCATCTTGGCCTGAGTCTTGGCATTGTGCCTTAGAACTCTCAACACCTTTGCAGAACAAGCTCTCTAAAAGAGTGAGGGAGGCCAGCCACTAGTGGTGACACGTGGGATTGATGGGTAGTTCCAGAGGGACAGGCTTTTGTTGAAGGTCCTTGTGCATCAGGCTCTGTGCTGAGGATGTAAAATCAGGTCTGGCCTGCTCCACTCAGAGATCCCCTGTCTACTGAGGGAGACCTACATCAGTGAAGCCCTTGACCCTGTCTAGGAGACCAGTAGTTGTGGGGGCTCTGATCAGTCTTCACACAGGAAGGTTGAATGTTTAGGGCAGAGAGGAGGCAGAGCAGGCAGGCATTTGAGGAATCACAAGGAGTTTAGAGTGACTGTAGATGCTGGAAAGAGTTGAGTCATTTACTTAACAAATATTGATCGCAGGTCTGTGCCAGGCATTGTTCTCAGTGTACGGGGGTACATTGGTGAGCCAGGCAGGCCCAGATCCCTGTGCTTGTGATGCTTACATTTTTGCAGAGTGGAACAAAATAAACAGTAAACATAATGAGTACACTAGTTGAGAGGTGGGACAGATGAAACATGTAGAGCAGGGTAAAGGGAATGAGTAGGGCTAAGGGCACTGAGAGGTCACAGTATTAAATAACGTGGTCAGGGTAGGCCTGAGAGCAGGTGAGATGTGAGCAAAAGCTTGCAGAAGGTGAAGCAGTTAGCTAAGTGCATGTGCCAGGCAAGGCAGAAGGCCAGCAAAGGCCCTGAGGTAGGGCACACCTGGTGTGATTTGGGTGTGGTCAGGAGGCCAGTGTGGCTGAGCAGAATGTAGTAGTAAATGAAGTCAGGGGTGGTGGGGCCAGATTGAGAAGGGGCTTGTGGGCTGTGGTGAGGACTTTGGCTTTTACTGTGAGTGAGGCAGAAGCCATTTGGAGGGTTGTGAGCAGAGGAGGGACAGGATCCCCCTGATTGCTGAGTGCAACATGGAATCTAGGGGGCAGGGGTAGAAGCAGGGGCCTGTGAGGCAGAGGCTACTAGAATAGTCCCAGTGGTAACTGATGGCAGAGCTGGCTAGGAAGGAAGGAGAAAAGGGGATGGAGTCTGAATGGATTTTGAAGGTGGAAGTATAGGTTCCCTGTCAAATTGGCTGTAAGGGTGTGAGGGAGGATTAAGGAGCTTACCTTTGTCCTGTGGTCTGCTGTGTGCCCAGGAATGATGGTGGCCTATGTAGAAACTGTATCATAGCCAGGATTCCGGGAGGGAGCCAGCCCTTAGGGATGGGGCATAGGAGGGTCATGACTGGCGTTGGTCCTTCCCTCCTCCTCCTCCTTCCCACTGCAGCCCCGGAAAGCCAGCGCCACATGCAGTTCTGCCACAGCAGCAGCCTCCAGTGGCCTAGAGGAGTGGACCAATAGGTCCCCGCGGCAGCGGAGTTCAGCCTCTTCACCCGAGCACCCTGAGCTGCACACCGAGTTGGGCATCAAGCCCCCTTCCCCAGGCACTGTCTTAGCTCTTGCCAAACCTCCTTCACCCTGTGCACCAGGTCAGTGAGTTGGTGACAGGGAAGCATGCCGGGGTTAGGAGGTGCTGCCTAGGTCCTGGGCCCTGCCTCTGACTATCCCTCTGCCCCAGGTACAAGCAGCCAGTTCTCGGCAGGGGCTGACCGGGCTACTCCCCCCCTCGTGTCCCTCTACCCTGCTCTGGAGTGCCGGGCCCTCATTCAGCAGATGTCCCCCTCTGCGTTTGGTAAGCCTCCTCTGTCTAGGGGCCCAGAGGCCAGCTGGGAATTGGGGAGAGAGAAGAACCAACAGACCCCATGAGGGGGGCCTTCCAGACCTCTGGCCATCTACCCAAGAAAAGGGAATTTTTCAAACCCAAGGGATGTGTCCAGGGGGGCTCTGAATGGGATTCCATAGGCCCGGAGGAGCCTTCTCCATAGAAATGTAGAGGGGCCTGGATAGGATCTCTCTAGAGCCAGGGATCAGCAAAGGGTGAAGAGGAGGAGGGCTGGAAGTATTCCATCATCCTTTTCCCCTTCCTCTTGGCCCAGCAGGTCTGAATGACTGGGATGATGATGAGATCCTAGCATCGGTGCTGGCAGTGTCCCAACAGGAATACCTAGACAGTATGAAGAAAAACAAAGTGCACAGAGATCCACCCCCAGACAAGAGTTGATGGAGACCCAGAGACTGGAGACCATCTCCCAACCCCCACCACTCCTGCCCTCCGGTGCCGACCCACTTTCTTTGGCTTTCTTCCCTTTTGCCTTCTTCCCTCACTCCTTTTGTTTCCCTCTTCCCCACTTCCCTCTGGCTGACCCACCACTGCACCCCCTTTCATCGCTGCCACCACCACCATCACCCGTCTCTTCGCCAGCTGACGTGCCCTGTTGCCCCCTGCACAGCACCATCCCTGCACTCCACAGGGGACTTGGGCAAGGGTGCCGAACATAGGCGAGAGGCACACAGAGACAAACCAACTGGCAGCCAGGCAGTCCCCGAGGAGAAACATTCAGACAGAGGAAAGTCTCCCTGCCCCCCTCACTCCCTGCCCTGTTTCTTCCAACTTCAGAAAAACTTGTTACCCCCACCTCCACAATGATGCTGGGAAGGTGCGAGGAAGAAGTGGGAATTCCCCTTCCCAGTACCCCAAGAATGTCTGAGCCTTCAATGTTGAATTTTTTCTTTATTAAAATGTACTTTTATCTTATAAAATCAATCAATCCAAAATGATGTAGACAACAGCATTGGCTCTGTGAAGGCGGCATCTCTGGTTTGGGAGCAGGCAGGCCATGGGCCACAGAGGGAGCACAAAGATGTGGTTGCTGTCTCTAGCCTCCAGCTCTGTGGAGGTGGGCAGTGTCTAGAGTGCAAGCCGGGGCAGGGTGGGGGGCAGGGGGGCAGGTGTCATATGGGCTTTGGACACTGAGACTCTGACCTCGCTGCATTCCTATTGCTTCCACACCACCACCACCACTACCACCACCACCACTGGTCTCTTTGGAATCTTGGGGTGGGAGGCACCTTTGAGGATCATGGCAGCCACTGCCTGCCCAGGATTTGAGTGGGGAGTGGGAGCAGCCTCAACAGATGAGGCACCTGTGCCCTGCAGGTGTTGACAAGATCCACCATCTGTAATGTCCTTGGCACAATAAAACCAAATGTCAGTTTCCCCTGAGCGCCTCTGTTCTGTGTGGGGCATGGGATGGGTGGGGCTTTGGGCAGAGGCGGTGATGGCATAGGCCTTGGCTTGACCTCTGAGGGCTGCATGCTGTCCAGTACGGTATTTACCCGGGCCCGGGGTTTGCTCATATTTGATTCACTGCTCACTAAACCAACTTCTGGACCTGTTCCTAACAAGAAAGTTCCATTTTTGCCTGCTGCCCCTGCCTCAATACTGGCACGTGTAGCCTGCCCACCTTGTGTCCTGGGGTATGATGGGAGCAGAGGACTATGAGCTTGAGGGCTGGTACTGAACTTCCAATTTCTCTGCCTGCCTCCTTGCCTGCATACGTTTGCTCTTTCCTTGTGATCTTTGATGAGGAATGCTTTGGAAAGGCACAACAGAGGCCTCATATCAACGTAAGTTTAGTGGAATTGACTGGTGGGCCTCCTGGGTTTAAGGAATGGTTAAGTCCTTTCTTATTGATGTCCCCAGTCTTCTAACACCCCTGTCTGCCTTTCCTTGGGGTAAAGTCAAGGCAGAGAAGGATGGCTGGTCCCCATGTTTTGTCAAGAATGGGGTTTGTTTGTTTGTTTGCTGTGCCTCACTAATGGGGCCCATGTGGAAGGGTGCATGTCCAGGTCTGCCGGTGAGGGCATGGCTGGCCAGGTGGCCACCTGTGGGGTGTCTGTGGAATTCACTGGTCATGCATGCAGATGTTGGAGAGTTGGTTTGAAACCTACCTGGCTTTTTCTAGATGTGTGGCCTTGGTCAAATCACAGGTTCTGTGAGTTTCAAGGGTCCTACCACGTGTCCAACAGGAGTGATTAATGTCTACTACCTCACACTCTGGTTGTGAGCACAGAGAGAGAATACATGTGGTCAATATAATGTATGATAGCATGGTGCCTGGCACGTTCTGAGAGCTCAGATGTTAGCAGATAGTATTTATTATCCTAATACTGAAGTTTCTGCACCATTTGGCCCCTGCCTACCTCTTGCTGCTCTGTCCAGTTTCATTGGCCTCTGCCTGGAATTTGCCCTTCCCCTGTCCTGAGCCCCCAACCTTGTCCTTCAAGATGGGTAGAAGGTCACCTTCTGAGAAGCCCTGTGTGACTCCACATTCTCACTTCTATCCACAAATGTGTCTTTACTCCTTCCCCAATAACTGTGCAAGGGCTGTGATGCCTGACTTAATCTGTGTATCTCTTAATATCTGCACCCCTGCCAGGGCCTGGCAGGCGTACGGTAGACCCCTAATAAATACTGGATGAATAAGGGAGAGTACATGTGTGTATTTGCTTTTTGAGTGTTGTCTGTGTGTGACTTTGGTGAGTCCAAGTCTTCACATGCCTCTCACAGTGTCTCCAGTGTGTGTGACAAGGGCTTGTTTCCAGGTGTGTCAGATGGTGACTGAGTGTGGGACTCTGTCTCTGACAGTTTATGCCTGTTTCTGAGACAAGTGCATGTCTGCGTGGGTCTGTCTGTGACAGTGCATCTGTGGTTTCATTCTGATGTGGTGGATGTCCGTTTGTATTCCTTTGACAGATTCTAGGTAGCTATTTCTGGACAATTTCAGTGACAACGCTGCATGTTTGCTGGTTGTGTGTCTGACTGGGTCTCTCCACATCTGTTTTTGTGACACTGCCTATCCATGTGGCTCTGTTGCATAAGTATTTATGTCTGCCTTTGGAGCAGTACTTGTGTGTCTCTGGAGCATCTGTGTGTCTTCCTGTGACAGCCACGAGGTCTCTCATTTCTGGGGCAGTACAAGTCTTCCTGTGATAGTGTGTGTCTGATGGTGCCAGTATCATGACAAGTTCTGGTGGTGGTGAGTCTGACATTTTTGTGTCATTGTCACATGGCAATGTAGGTCCATGTGAGTCTCTCTGGAGTGCCTGTCTTTCTGTAACAGTGTTTCTCTGGGTGTCATTCTGGGACATAACTGGCAGCATGCCTGCCTGACAGTGGATGTCAGTCTCTGTGACAGTACGTGTCTGCATCTGTGTCATGTAAGTTTACATGAATGTGTCTGACAGTATGGGTTTTGTGTATATATATCATATGGTACTTTTGTGAGTGCCTTGAGTGCATATCTTCTTGTGGCATGACACTGTACTTATTTTTCACAAATTTGTGACAGGATATTTTGCCACCTGTCTGAGTTCTCCCCGTCCGTCTCTGCCATTTGGAAGCATACCCCCACGCCACCATCACTCTGGCTTGCTCCTCACCCCCGCCCAAGATCCACTTCCCCCTGCCATTCCAGATTCTAGACGTGCTGACTGGGCTCGTGGCCAAACCTAGTCAGGTCTGGCCAGGTTAAGGGCTCTAAAAACACACCATAGGCCTCCGACTCAGGGCTTGCGAACGTTGTCTTTGACCAGCGCGTCCCCCGCGGTGGTGGTCAGGAGGGCTACCCCTCCCTGGAAGCTGGGCGGATTCTTCCAGGATCCCCGGCTTCAGTTTGGGGGGAGAAGCCGCCGGTCGCCTTGAGGGCTCTGGTCCTGGGTGTTGAGCACTCTTCGGAGACCGGGTCCAGGGTAGCCACAGGCTCGCATTCTTAGAAGCCGGGCCTGGCATTATCTCCGCGCTAATCTCGAAGCAGCGGCTGCAAACCAACTTCCTAGGAAAGGAGGCGGTGCAGTTATTTTTTTTAAGTTTATATCTATACACATACGCATATATATAAAAACAACCCCGCGCAACAACCAAAACAAATGCGGTCGCTGCAAAGGGATTCCCAGAACCGGTTTCCTCTTCGCGCGCCCCCCCACATTTGCATGCGGGCCCGGCCCCCGCGGAAGATCCGGGCATGTATTTGCATAAGGGGGTACTTGAAACGTTGAGGGTGGTATGCAAATAAGGACTGGCTCCGATTGGCTGGGGTACAGCAGGTGCCGCGTTCGGATTGATCAAAGCCAAGTGGGCGGGGCTGTCGCCCGGGGCGACTCTCTCGGGAGGCGCGTGCCCCGGCTCAGTAGCGTTAGGGCTGGCGCGCGCGTCGAATCCGAACGTTGCGCTGTTTGAGGGCCCTTCTGGGCCACCAGCTTCTCTGCCTTCCACCCTGGCGCCCCCAAGTCCTGGCTCACCAGCCTCGCTGCCCCGGGCGTCCACGCCCTGCGGGCTCAGCGGGCTCAATCTGCGCAGCACCTCCTCCATGTTGACTAAGCCTCTGCAAGGGCTCCCCGTGGCCCCGGTGACCCCCACGCCGCCGCCAGGTGAGCGAGGCTCCCCTACCGCGACTAGGCCGGGCGGGCTGAAGTGATTGAGGGCGGCGCGGGAGGAGGGGAGGAGAGGGTCGCAGCCGGGCTCAGCACGCAGCCACCCTGACTTCCTCGCCCCCGCCTGCGTAGGAGGCAAGGATCGGGAAGCGTTCGAGGCCGAGTACCGACTTGGCCCTCTCCTTGGTAAGGGGGGCTTTGGTACCGTCTTCGCAGGACATCGCGTCACAGACCGACTCCAGGTATCCACTACGAGGGTCCTGGGAGGGTCCTGGGTGTGCGTGTGCGCGTGTGTGTGCGCGGCGGGGGAGGGAGTCTCGGGGCCCCGGAGTCCCGGGGCTGGGATGCTGACTGACCAGGGGATGAGCCAACAATGTGTGCGTGGTAGGGTCATGAGGACCAGGATCCAGGTTGGTGGGGGTGCCCGAGCGCGCGCACGTGCGCGCGCTTGTTTGTGTGTGTGGCTATCCAGGTGGGTATGTGGGGGGAGGGGGGTTTCAGGGCAGAGATTCTGGAAGTCCAGGGGGGTGAGACTGAAGACTGGCAGGTCGTGAGGACTCTAGATCCTGGGATCCAGGGGATATGTATCTGTGTGGGAAGGTGGAGACTCAGAGCTGAGATTTGGGGGATTTTGAGGGCAGATGTCCAGCGTGGAGTCCTGAGGACCAGGACCCCGGTAGAGAGTTGGGGTGTCTTGGAGCTGGATGGAAAGATCGAGGGCTTGGGGTATTAGGAAATTCAGAGCTGAGGAGCTGGAGCGAGGGGCCTGAAGCCTGAGAAGGGAGAACCAGGGCTAAGGATGATGGGAGAGGTGAACTTGGTTCTGGGGACTTGGAGAGCAGGGGAGAAGCTCCAGCTCATTTTGGGTTGTGGCGTGGCGAGGTTGGGACCAGAAAGACTGGGGTGAGGGCCAAGACTAGGAGGGGCCTGGGGGTCGTCTGCTGGTCCCCTCACCTCAGCCCCCTTCTCCAGGTGGCCATCAAAGTGATCCCCCGGAATCGTGTGTTGGGCTGGTCCCCCTTGGTGAGTATCTTTGGAGTCCTGCCTGACCTGGCGACGCCATCTCTGACGATGGGCCCTGGCGAGGGACTCACCCCCTTGCCTTTCTAGGGCTTGTATGATTTCCTGGGCTCTGTAATGGTGAGGAGAACACTCTTACCAGCCCGTGTTTACTCCCCTGTGGTGACATCCACACCTCCAAACAGTTCTCACCCCAGCTACCCCCATGGCCTTGGATTCTCCCCTCCAAACCGCCTTTCTCCTTCTCCCTCCGAACATTGCCTCGGGGGCTGCCCGCGGGGCATGCTGGTGGGGAAAGAGGGGCAGAGGTCACTGGTTGCCATGGTGACAGTGGCTGCTTCACTCCGGCCGTTAGAACGCTAACGGACAACTGGGCGGGTCTGGGCTAGTTGTAGGAGTGCGAGCGCCCCCTGGCGAACTCTAGGGGAGAGTGCGCCCGCGCAGGTTGTGGGACCCGGAGGGAGAAGGTGCGCCTGCGCAGTAGCGGAATTTTCACCACCGTGAGAAAACCTGTCTGCGGCTGTGCAAGTCAGTGGACTGGCCGGGAGAGGGCCCCACCTCAGGCTGGGAGGCTGCTTCTGGCAGCCCTTGTGCCCGCGTTGGGCTTCTAGCGTGGGGTGGCTTTTATGGCCTAGCATTTATGCCTTTTATTGAGCACTGACTGTATGTCTCAGGTTTTGCTTCATCATCAAAGCTTACTGTGTTCCAAGTCCCACTGAGTACTTGCAACACAGTTCTGTAGATGTTTGGTGTCAGTGACAAAACATCACATGATGTTGAGTTCTTACTTTGTTCCTTTGTACTTAATCAGCTTCAGCTATTTAACAAATGTATATTGAGCACCTACTATGTGCCAGGCACAGTTTTAGGCATTTGGCAAAATATTACATTTATTGAGAGCTAATTTTGTGCTAGGTCCTTTCTACTAATTGCTTTTACCTGTTTAACAAACATGTATTAAGCCCTGCCCTGTTACCAGACCCTGTTCTAGTGTTTGAGCTATGTCAGTGAACAAAACATTACAACTATTACACAATAATAGTATTTATTGAGTGCTAACTCTGTGTTAGACTCTATGCTATAGAGTACTTTCAGCTATTTAACAGCTATTTATTGAGCATCTACTGTATGTAAGGTACTGTTGTAATCTTTTCTGAGATGCCAGTGAACAAAAGATACCCTATTACATAGTAGTGTTCATCAGTTGCTCCTTCTGCAGAAGGCTTTTTTTTTAAGAACCACTTTCATTTATTCAAATAGTTACTGAGCCAGATGTTCATAGGATTTTGGCTCAAACCACCTTTGCAGTGGCCCTTAAGGCTAGGGAACTGAGGCTCAGGGAGGGAAGTGGGTTGCTGAAGACCACAAAGTCAGGAGGCTGAGGGGCTATGAATTAAGTTCAGGCAAGAAGTCCGTCTCACAGCTGCTGCCCTGACGTCTGTGTTCTCTCTTTTCTCCTCTTCCCCTCACAGTCAGACTCAGTCACATGCCCACTGGAAGTGGCACTGCTATGGAAGGTGGGTGCAGGTGGTGGGCACCCTGGTGTGATCCGCCTGCTTGACTGGTTTGAAACACCAGAAGGCTTCATGCTGGTCCTCGAGCGACCTTTGCCTGCCCAGGATCTCTTTGACTACATCACAGAGCAGGGCCCATTAGGTGAAGGCCGAAGCCGCTGCCTCTTTGCCCAGGTAGTGGCAGCTGTTCGGCATTGCCATGCTCGTGGAGTTGTCCATCGTGACATCAAGGATGAGAACATCTTGATGGACCTTCGCCGGGGCTGTGCCAAACTCATTGATTTTGGTTCCGGTGCCCTACTTCATGATGAACCCTATACTGATTTTGATGGTAAGTCTTCCCTAAATCTCAGTGGGGGGATTTTTTACCTTTTATCTTTGTGGTCTCTTGATCATTGGCCCCTAGTGCTGGGGTGTCCTGTAATCCTTGATCTGTATTGCACCTTTGTAAGGTTCTTGATCTTTAATACTGGCAATGCTCAAGCCTTGTCCTCTGATAAAGTCCATCTTCTGACAATGCCTAGACCTTGTTCAGGGTTCTTATTCTGGTAAGGGGATTGTGTTATCCTGAATATTCCTTTTCTATCTGGTAAAGGGATCCTCCTGTTACTTTTAAGTGCTTTTGTTCTGTTGAGGGCACTCTATTACCTTTTTCTAATGATGAGACTCTGCTGTTATTTTTAAAGAGCTCCTATTCTGGTGAGGGAACCCTGCTCGTGTACTGAGTTCTCTTAATTCTGGTGAGGGGACCACACTTCCTGGGAAGGGTGAGGTGGGGGAAGGGCATTATCAGAGAGTGGTCTAATCTCTGGCTTGTGTGCAGGAACAAGGGTGTACAGCCCCCCAGAGTGGATCTCTCGTCACCAGTACCACGCGCTCCCAGCCACTGTCTGGTCACTGGGCATCCTCCTCTATGACATGGTGTGTGGGGACATTCCCTTTGAGAGGGACCAGGAGATTCTGGAGGCTGAGCTCCACTTCCCTGCCCATGTCTCCCCAGGTGAGGCCTTCACTGGTCCCATCCCAGTGGACTGCATCCTTCCCAGGGACTAGTGCCCCCAACTGACTGCTAATCTTCTGTGTACTTCTGATCTGCAGACTGCTGTGCCCTAATCCGCCGGTGCCTGGCCCCCAAACCCTCTGCCCGACCCTCACTGGAGGAGATACTGCTGGACCCCTGGATGCAGACACCAGCTGAGGATGCATCCCTCAATGCCCCCACGGGGGGTCCCACCCCTTTGGCCTGGTCCCTGCTGCCCTAGTCCTGGCCAGGCCCCCACTAGTTTAAATACCCGTCCCATGGCATGCCACAGGGATAGATGGACATCTGTTGACCTGGTTATACAGGTCAGTAAAAATCCAGTGTTACTAGGGTCAGAGATTGGGGATCAGGGATCAGGAGACATAAGCCAAGTCTGCCCAGTCCCCATCCCAATCCTGCTAAGGAGCCTTCCTCCCAGAACTTACGGTCTCTTATTCTGGAGAGGGGGACTTCCATATTTCTCATTTTGCTAAGGATGTTTATTTGGTTTGAAGTTACTTCCACTCTGAGCCCCAGGACTCTTATTCTGATAAGTTGTAACCCCTACACTGGCACCTCCTGCTACCACCGCACACACTTAGTTTAAATGCTCTCACTTGGGCAAGGGTGCTTTCCTTCCAATGCCCCAGCAGCTCTTATTTTAGCAAAAGGACCCTTTCCCCTAGCCCAGGGTCTATATTCAGTCAAGCTGCTTGCCTACCTCAGCCCAGGGTTGTTAATTCTGGGGGAGGTAATGCCCTATTGTTATTCCAGGACTTTTTAAATTTTTTTTTATTATTATTTTATTTTATTATTATTATTATTTTTTTTTTGGTGAGGGGACCCTACTCTGTTATCCCAAGTGCTCTTATTCTGGTGAGGAGAACCCTTCTTCCATGATTTGGGGAAGGAATGGAAGATGGACACCACCAGAGTCCGCTAGGATGGGGTGGATGGTTTTTTGGGGGATGGGGTGGGGGAAATAAGTCTTGTTTGTTCTCCTGGGGCCCCCCCCCCCTCCATCTTTTTCGGATTCTTGCTGCCTCCTTCTGAGCCAGGATTGTCCAGTTGCTGAAATGTAAATACTTATGTATTGGTGGGAGGGGAACTCCAACTGTGTCCTCCTCTTCCTTCTCCCCCTGCCTGGATTATTTAAAAAGCCATGTGTGGAAACCCACTATTTAATAAATGTTATAGAATCAGAAGCGACTGGCCACTGTAGATGCAGCAAGGAAACCCACTACTTAATAAATGTTATAGAATCAGAAGCGACTGGCCATTTGTAGATACAGTGAGGCAATTATGGAGCATCTGTATGCTGAGCCAAGAGGGAGGTGGGCTGGAGCTCTCCTCAGCTCTTGGGGATTCTTAGCCTTGTGGTACCATCCTAAAGCTCCTTTAGGGTTCATTTAAGCAGGACCACAAAGAAAAACTTGATTTCCCCCTCTTCAGCTCTTATATAGCTCCCAGGATGTGCAGAAGGGCTCCATTAGAGATACCATAGACACTGAAGATGTTTGGGACACTTCCCGAATCAAAAATGGGCTTGCTCAGGCAGAGAAAACTGCTTTCCTCACCCCCAGGGGAGGAGATAAAATCCTCCCACAAGAGAAAATGCCTTTCAGGGCACTGATGAGGGAGGGGCCAGGGTTGGGCACAGACAAAAACCTTCCCAGCCTTTCCTTGTAACATTCAGGGTGTAAGTCACATGTTTTGCCCCTACATTCTCATGTCTCCCTTGCAGTCTTGTTCATCCCTCTCTTCTATTTTTTAAATTTTTTAAAATTGTTTATTTTTGAGAGAGACAAAGTGTGCAAACGGGTAGAGTTCAGAGAGAGGGAGACACAGAATCTGAAGCAGGCTCCAGGTTGTCAACACAGAGCCAGTTGTGGGGCACAAATTCACGAACCTGGAGATCGTGACCTGAGCCAAAGCCCAACGCTTAACTGACTGCGGCACCCAGGCGCCCCTCAGTCCTCACTTTTTGACATACCTGCCCTGTTCTGTCTTGGTTTCACTTGTCCTGACCTCAGCTGAACCCTTTCTTGCCCCTCTTTTTTTTTTTTTTCTTTTTTGAGAGAGAGAGGGAGACACAGAATCTGAAGCAGGCTCTAGGCTCCCCAGCTGACGCGGGGCCCGAACTCAGGAGCCATGAGATAGATCATGACCTGAGCCGAAGTGGGACGCTTGGTTTAACTGACTGAGCCACCCAGGTGCGCCCCCTCCCCCTCTTTCAAAAGCTAACCTGAACACCGCCTCACCTGCTGGCTTACGGGTCTCCTTCGCACCCTCAATAGGGGCTCATTTATCCTCCAGTCTCAATTCTCCTATGCCCTGTCACTTGTGTGGCCTCTACCGCTGTGCTTTCATCTGCTTGATGAAACTTGACGCACACCCGCCCCGCCCCCTCAGTCTCATTTTCCTCCCAGATGCCCGTGGGCTCTCCAGGAGGCGGGACCTCGCTGGAGGTGGGGGAAAGGGGAACTTCAGTCCAACCAGAAAGGACCCAGGAGTTTTGATGCGGAAAGGGCGGTATCCTCTTGTAGCAGGTGCCAATAAAGAGCCGAGATAGAAGAGGGTCAGCTGAACCAATGAGACGAGGACATAGGATGGGCGGGTGATCTGGAAAGCAGGATCAATGAAGATGAGGGCGGGTCTGGTAACGGGAATAAGCCAATGAGGCTCTGTAGAGCCATCAAGAGACTGAGCCAGCCGCCTGTTCCCGACTAAATCTGGAAATCCCAAGGCCGCGGTCTTAGATTCACTGTTCGGGAGAGGACGAGGAAAGCCCCGGCTCCGGCCAGCCCCTCGCTTGTCCCAGCTCCACCCAAGAGGCCCGGAAGCGGAAGTGAGGGACACGGAAGTGGCCTGCTGTTGCCGAGGGGACGGACCAGGCAGATGCCAACATGGCAGCGGTTGGGTCTGGCGGTTCCACCGCGGCGGCAGGACCTGGGGCGGTCTCCGCGGGGGCGTTGGAGCCTGGGACAGCGAGTGCGGGTGAGATAGGTTGTGACCGAGCAGGGGCGGCGGGGCAAGAGTCGAGATCGCTGGGGGGTCAGGAAGGTTCCTCAATGAAGCTAGAGGGAGCATCCCATATGGACCGACCTATGTGTTTTGGGGGGGTGGGGGATGGAGGACGGAACGGACTGTCGTGAGTGTGTTGGAAGGCGGGGAAGAGACCATTCTGAAGGTGATGGAGGGTTCCTTCCGCATATGGAGAGCAGAAATCATTCTGAGTCTGGGGGGTTATACCCTTTGGTGGAGCCTAAGATCATTAAGACCATTCTGAGTGTGTGTGTGTGGGGGGGGGTCCGTCCTTATAGAAGGGAGAGAGCATTCTGAGGGTGGGGAAGTTCTTCCTTATAGAAGAGAAAAGCTATTCTGAGAGTGGTGATTTCTTCCTTATAAAGGGATAGGGGCTATTGTGAGTTAGGGTGGGGCGGGTCCTGCCTTACACAACTTAAGAGGGTCCATTTTGAGGATTGGTATGTCTGTCATAAGGGGAGAGGACCATTGCGGGGGGGCCCTTCCTAGTGGAGGTAGAGTTCATTGCAGATTGGAGTGGGAGGGTCCTTCCTTATATGGCAGAGAAAAGACTTTCTAAGGGTGCAGGGCCCTTCTTTATAGCGGGGAGAGTTCGTTATGAGTGTGAGTAGAACAGGAATGATTCCTTGGCTGGAGGTAGGGGTGGTGCGGTGGTTGGAGGATGACTGGACCATGTGGAGTATAGAAAAATATTTCCTTATGTCTAGAGGGAACCAGACCATTCTTGGTGCAATAACCATTTATTATATGGGGTTCAATTCTAGGGACTGTTGAGGAATTATTTCTTATGTTTATGAAACCATTCTGGGTCAGGTGGACTCTGGTGGTCATATAAGGTAGGAGTTGGAGAGACCATTCATAGTTGAAGGGGATGAAATGATATTTTAGATGGGAGAAAGACTGTTACTAGGGGGTGGACATGCCTTATACAGTGATCCCTGTATTGAGGTATCATTCTGTACATAGGACAGCGTCTCATTAAATAGAAGCATCATTTCATATAAGTCTTTGGTTTGCTCATCCATAGAATGGAATCCTTGTAGCTCATTCAGAGATCAGAGCAATATAGAGGTCTGTTGAGGTAATGCATATAAAATCCTTTAGCCCAGTGATAGGCAGACAGTCAGCACTCAAATGTTGAGAATGTAGTTGGTATTCTGTCTGGGCGTGAGTTGCTTCTCACACAGAAGAGGGGGAGAGGGGGCCAGAGTGTGTCCAGAACCTGCCCCAGCCATTTCCTGATACGTCACCAAGGATTCCAAGTATGGGCTGGACAGGGTGAGGCCCATTTCTCCCTTTGTGGCCCTTCCTGCCTGTTGAGGCAGTAGAAGTATATGGGAGTCATACCCTCATTGGGTTAGGAGAAGGAGGCAGAGGGAGGAAGTGGCAAGTGTCTAGGAAGATCCTGGTTGAGAAAGGAGTGAGGGGGAAGGTGGTGGTGTGGCTGTGCCCCAGCAGCTTCTGATCCCTTCTTCCCCCTTGCTCATTCCATTCCCCACAGCTCACCGGCGCCTCAAATACATATCCCTAGCTGTGCTGGTGGTCCAGAATGCCTCCCTCATCCTCAGCATCCGTTATGCCCGCACACTGCCTGGGGACCGCTTCTTTGCCACCACTGCTGTGGTCATGGCCGAAGTGCTCAAAGGTTTCACCTGCCTGCTGCTGCTCTTCGCACAAAAGAGGGGTATGAACCAGAAAGGGGGTGCTGCACTGGAGTTGGCGGGTGGGACTGTGTGGGTGTGTACCCATCCCCACATGGAGGGTTTGCTGGGGGAGTTTCGGGTTTGCTGGAGGAGTATCACTGTGTCCGTGAAATTGCCTGGAGAATATATATGTGTAGCTAAGCTGCCTTGTCCCTCCAGGTATGAGTAGCTGCACCCACACTTTTATATCCCTAATCCCCTGGGAGCTGGCCTGTGTGGACTGTAGGAGTGAGACCATCTGTGCCCATAAGGTATCAGGTGACCATTACATAGTGATTCAGTTATTTCCCTTTAACTTTGCATTATGGATAATGTTAAACATACACAAAATCCGAGGTAGTAATAAAATGTCCATGTACCCATCACCCAGATTCATCAATTATCAACCCATGACCACTCTACCATTAAACAGCATCAGTGATTATCCACTCACTGCCAGTCTACATGTCTGCCCACGTACCCACCCCCTGCCTTATTATCCTACAGTATGTCCCACATGAAGTAAGTATTATTTTGCAGTAAATCCCCCCTTACAGTCCTGAATAAATATTTTTGTACATTAAAAAAAATTACTGTGATATCTAAAAATCATACACCAGAAAATTAATAATTTTTAAAGTTAATAAAATAATCACATATCCAGTCAAGTGTTCACATTTATAATGGTTTCTCAAATATCCTAACAGGTCTTAAGAATTTGTCTCAGTCAGGTTTATATATGGTCAGTATCTTGTAGTTGGTTGATGGCTTCTAGGTCTGTCAACCTCAGGGCTCCCCTCCAGCTCTTTTTGATATGCAGTTAATTTGTTGAAGAGAGCAGGTTGTATGTCTTGTAGATTTTGGGTGGCCTGGATTTTGCTGGCTGCCTCCCTGTGTATCATTTAACATGTTCTTTTATCCTCTGTATTTCCTGTAAGGTGGATTTATCTACTAATTTAAAGCCCTCCTTTAAAACGTTACCAATCATTTCTCTATAAAGGCCTTGCGTGTGTAAAGGATATAGATGTATGATCTAGCTCTGCCCTCAGTATATTTTTAAAATTCAGTTTATTTATTTATTTTGAGAGAGAGAAACAGAGCACACGAGTTGGGGAGGGGCGGAAGGAGGGAGAGAGAATCCCAAGCAGGCTCCGTGCTGTCAGCACAGAACTAAATGCGGGCGGGACTCAGGAACCATGAGAACTTGACCTGAGCCGAAGTCAGATGCTTAACCGACTGAACCACCCAGGTGCCCCAAGTTTTTTTTCTTATAAATACACTACAGTATTGAAAATGCATTTTCCTTATTATTTTTTTTTCTAGCTTACTTTATTGTAAGAATACAGCATATAATACATATTAACATACAAAATACGTATCAATTGACTATGTTATCGATAAGGCTTCCAGTCAACAGTAGGCTATTGGAGTTAAGTTTGGGGGAAATCAAAAATTATACGTGGATTTAAAAAAACATTTAATGTTTTTTATTTGAGAGAGAGAGAGAGAGCACAAGTGGGAGGGGCAGAGAGAAAGGGAGACAGAATCTGAAGCAGGCCCCAGGCTCTGAGCTGTCAGCACAGAGGCAGACACAGAGCTCGAACCCAGGAACTGTGAGATCATGAGCTGAGCCGAAGTTGTATGCCCAACAGACAGCCATCCAGGCCCCTCTATACATGGATTTTTGTGCACGAGGTTGGTGCCCCAACCTCCTGTTGGTTGCTCAAGGGGCAACTGTAATATTCTATTAGTTTCAGGTGTACAACATAGTGATTCAACAATTCTGTATATTACACGGTGTTCACTGTGGTAAGTGTAGTTACCATCTGTCACCATACAATGTTGTTACAATATTATTGACTACATTCCTTATGCTGTACTTTTCATCCCGTGACTTATTTATTTTATAGCTGGGAGTTTGTACCTCTTAATCCCCTTCACCTATTCCGCCCATCCTCCCCGCCATTGCCCTGACAACCACCAGTTCCCTGAGGCTGTTTTTGTTGTCTGTTTTTTTGTTTTTTTTTTTTTTTT